CCCCCCCGCCCCGGCATCCCCCCACATGGCCCTCCCAGCCCCTACCACTGTGCCTGGCTGGCCCTGGGAAGGGTGGGCAGCACCCAGGGCAAGGCAGGTACCAACACGCACCCCAGTTCCCCCCATGTCCCTGTGCTCACACCAGTGGTTCCCAACCAGAATGTCCACCCCTCCCAGCCCCCTCCATCCCAGCAGGAAAGCAGCAGTGTCCTATGGGGCTGGGCACTGTGCCAGGCACTCTGCCGGGGGCATGGGCCACGGCTGCCCACACCCCGCTCTGTGGTACACCCACAAAGCCTGCCTCGGGCAAGCACCATGGAGCCACAGAGCAACACCAGGGCTGGGGGGCAATGTCCCCTGTAAGGGCAATGCCTCAAATGACCTGTGCCAGTGAGAGGGTGGGCATCACCCCCGCAACCCCTCAGCCTTGGGCAGGTGCTAGCAGAAAGACCTCGGAGCTGGGACGGCCAAGCCTGGTGAAGCTGCAGGCACGGTGATGCCTGCAGCGTGGGTACCACCAGCTAACCCGGCCACACTCGGCACCACTGGGCTCCGAGTCGCACTGCCCACCCGTGTGCCTCAGTGCCATGGTCCCTGGGCTTGATGCCCATCTCTCAGCTGGGGAAAGTGAGGCACTGGGCAGGCTGGCTGTGCTGCAGGGCCACTCTGGGAGCAGACCCCCCAGGCCTCGTGCCTGCTCCAGGCAGTGCGTACCAGCTTGCAGCAATGGGCATGAAGGTGCCAGAGAGTTGGCATAGGGCAGGGGGGAGCTGGAAGGGCTCTCACCACAGCAGAGCATCCCGCTGGGCTCCCGTCCCCATCCCCGTCCCCGTCCCCGTCCCCCTCCACTGGGACCCAGGGAGCTCCTGGCCCTTTAAACTCTGATTGGGGCCATGCCTTTAAAATGGGTGCTGGGGGCCAGGATATTTTACCTTGCAGGAGGAGGCTGGCCAGGAGCAGGTGGGCTGAGTGAGCTGGTCCTCCCCACCCACCTGACTTCACCCTCCCTCCACCCCACGCCCTTGCCCTTGCCCTTGCCCTTTTACAGCCTCTGTACCCAAGCTCCTGGCTGGCTGGCTTTGCCGGAGGTCTGGGTTTTAATCTGGAATTTGCACCCCTTTTTGCATACAGAGGGTCGTCCCCCCCCACCCCCACCTTTCTGTTCCTGTGCCAAGCTGAAGCAGCTGGCATGGTTGTCCTGGCTTGATAGCAGCTGGCAGCACCCTGGGGTCTCCTTTTGCTGGTGCCCGCAACCAGGTCTGCCTCTCCAGGGTGGAGAAGCATGACTGCAGGCTCCCCCTAATCCTGCTGCCAGCAAGCCCCACCTTGCCCTGCTCACCTCCCCCCACTCCCACACCACCACTACCTATCATGGCTTTGTTCCATCCCTTCACCAGCCTCCTCCTCCTCCTCGCTGTGCCCCTTTCCTGGGCTGCAAAACAGTCCCCGCTGCCCCCTGGCTCCCTGCCCGCCACCCCCCCCCTGCCCCGCCTGCAGGCCCTGCAAGTGCAGGCACCAGGCAGCCAGAGCTGGCAAGTGGGGCCAGCAAGCGGGCAGCCCCTGCGCTACATGCTGAACCTGTACCGGCGTGCCGCTGACCGCGAAGGGCGACCCCGACACGGCCGCAGCCTCGGCACCACCACTGTCCGCCTGGTCCGGGCCCGTTCCCGGGAGTGGGCCCGGCAAGCGGGCAGCCCCTGCGCTACATGCTGAACCTGTACCGGCGTGCCGCTGACCGCGAAGGGCGACCCCGACACGGACGCAGCCTCGGCACCAACACTGTCCGCCTGGTCCGGGCCAGTTCCCATGGGGGTCAGCCCTGGGCAGGTAAGAAGCAGGCAGGCACCAAGGGCAGTGCAGGGACTTAGCAGAGCTGGTGGGGTGGGCTTGAGCCCTGGGGGGGGGTGTCTTTGCCTGCCTCCTTCCCTCTCTGTAAGTGTCCTGGCCAGGGCTGGCATGTCCTGTGCCCTGCGGGGGCTGCCTTTGGCCATGGGGTCTCTCTTTGGCAGGGGGCCCAGGCTTTCCCTGCCCCAGGGGTGAGATGGGCAAGGGCATCGCTGGCCCTGTGTGCCCCTCTCCCCTTCCCATCCTGCTCGATGCCATGCCAGGCCAGTGGTGTTGGTGCAGAGGATGGGAATTGTCCCAGCCACTCTTTGCCCTTCGCCTTGC